GGGGAAGGGAAGGCAGCCTGCAGGGGCCATAAAGGAGAGATTTTCATGCCAGGTCTTACCCAAGGAAGAAGAGTGCATGCTGTCCCCCCACTCCTTACCAGAGAGTGACCCAGGACCTAGAGGGGAGGCCCCAGGGAGGCAGAGCCTGACCTTCCAGAATGACCCTGACTCCAAAATGCAGTCCCCCCAGAGCCCAGGACCATGTTACCCAAATCGTGGAGGCTTAATTAACAAAAAGGCTCATTTCTGCCACTCATGAGAAACTCAAATGGCATCTATGCCAGGTGTCACTGTCAACCTTCTTCCCAAAGTCCCCCAGGGCTCAGGACAACAGAGTCCTCCTCCCTTCTCCCCACTGCATACCCATTCTAGTGAGCCCCAGGAAAGTACCCAGACATCTTCCCCTGTACCAGTCCTGCCCCCGGCACCAGCCTATGAATACAGACATCTTGACCAGAGGGATGCTTCTAAACTAATTCAGACTACAGTGTAATGGACTGAAAGCTTGTCACGAGGGGCCTATGTTTTCAAATTGGATTGGGTTGCAAGACACCTCAGGGGCAAAAGGGAGATGCACATAAGGCAGTACTGAGCTCAGGGCCTGCCCTTGTCAGCAGTGTGGCCTAGGGGAAGTACTTAACCTCCCTCAGCTTCAGTATACTCATCAGAAGGATAGCAGTAACCACAGCACTGACCTCTAGCTGCTGTGGGAATCCCGTAAGCTGATCAGTGCCTCAGCACAGTGACAGACACACAGTAGGTCATCAGAACAGTAGCTGTGCTGATAATTTTGAGAAAACCAGGAAACACTGAGGTATTCAGCCGAAGGTCGCAGCATCTATCAGGCACTGTTAAGTCAGAGGCCATTTCCCACCCAACCAGCGGCCGCAGGTGCCAAAGGTTTACACAAAAGCTCTGGGGAGAAAGACTTAAGACTGAAAATGCTTTCCACTAAATGAACGTTGTCACAAACTGGGAAAAGACCACCATTAGTCAATTTGGCCAGTGGAACACCTGGGGTCCGGCTCGCAAAAGCCTGGTGTTGAGAGTGGAGTTTGGCCGTCGTGGGGCTTCCCCTTGGGAAACGGGGCTCTAATGGTGGGATTCCTGGCACGTGACAGGCCCATGAGGAAGCCACGGTGGAGCACAGAGGTCTAAGTCCAGTCCTGGCTCCCGTCCAATGGAAACCTCCCCTCTCTGAAGGCCTCAGTTTTACCATCCAGAAGATGGAACCGTTGGGCTGAGAACATCAATCTCCAAGGAGCCTTGGGGCTCTCTGATCCTGGAGTTGACAAACGGCCCTAGGAAGCACCTCAGCCATAACCTGTGGCCCTCACTGGCTTTGCGGACAGCCCCACTCCGAGAGGCCAGAGGAAAAGGAGGGGATTGTTTCACTTTGTGGCTGACACTGGAATGGAATTGGAGGGTCTTGCCTCCCACAGTGGCTGGAGCAGGCCAAACACAAGAAATAATAAATCCTAACCAGGCTTTGCCCAGCTAGGAGGCCCTGGCTGGCTCTTGTCATAAAAAGATCTTATCCCTGTGAGCACCCGTGTAGCCTGTGGAGGACTCCGCCCTCCTCCCCTCAGTCCTCTGCCTCCACTTTCTATTTCCTGTGACAACCTGCAAACTGAAGACCAACTTGCCTCTCCCAGGCTTCGACTGCAACCCCCCCCCCGCCCCAGCCCCCACCCGGGCCCCAGCTGCAGGAGGCCCTGCAGAGTGTAATTCCCCTCGCCCTCCTCTCTGCCCTGGGCCCGTCCGGACAGATTAAGCCTTTGTCACACACACCCAGAAAAGCTCAGGGCCAGATGGGACAGGACAAGTGGTGTCAGATCATCGACCCGAGGCTGGCCGGGACTAGGAAAGGGGCCGACCGCAGCACTGCATATGGCTGTGGGAGGGGGTGGGGGCCCAGGGTGGGAGCAGCCAGAGAGCAGCATGGAAGAGAGATGACACACCATGGCCATCCTGGGGACAGACACCATACAGGAGCCCTTGCTGCTGACCCAACTCCTACACCTTCTCTTCTCTGAAATTTTTCTGCCTGCTTGCCCTCCCTCGAAGTCTCAGGGGCTTCCCCATCCTATCCTCAGCTATGTCCACCGCCCCTACCGGCTGGGTGACCAAGGGGTAGGCAGAGTCCCGCCCACCCCATTACTCTGGTGCCCACCACGAGGCCTATGGGTACTAGACCAATGCCTTGGACAAAGGTCTATGGCCCAATGACCTTCACAAAAACCCACCCATGACGGCGCGCACGCGTGCATGTGTGCAGGCCAGTGAAGGCAGGGATTGTCCTTTGCACCTTTCAAAGAAGGTCCCATTCAGCCTCTCCCAGGAAGAGGCCATGGTTGCCCCAGAATTCCCAGCAGGATCTGTTCCTCTTAGATCAGTGAAAAGGAAAATGGAAATATAAAAATAATAACCAGGCCCCAGGAAGGTACTTGGAGATGGGGGTGGCAGGACTCGGGCATCTCCCGTGCTGGCTCCGGCTGGCTGGGCGAGTGGCAGGTAACTAACGGGTTCTCTAGGGACCAGCAGGCCAGGCAGGCAGGCGTGGGGAGCTCGAGGGGCAGGCTGTCGAGGGAGGGCACTTCTGTTGTGTTTGTTGTCCTCCTGGCAGCCTGGACTGGGAGGCCTGAGTCCCCTTTCTCTGCCTCCCAGGCAGGTGGTCCCTTAGGGAGGGCTTATTATTGGTCTGAGAGCCAGGGTGGAGACTGGTGAGGTCGTTGCAGCCAGTGACAGGCAGGGCAGGTCAATGTAGGCCTCAAGAAGTATCTGAAGCCACCAGCTGGGCTGGCAAGACCTGGGGCCCAGGCCTAGCACCCAGTTTCTGCCTATGGCCTGGATGGGGGGGAGGTGCTGCTCCACCTTGACAGCTGTGTGGATAAGGGGGTAGACACTGCTCCAGATGCCCACTCCCTAGGGGAGAGGTCGACCCACACAGAGAGCCAGTGAGCCAGCTGCCAGGTCTGGGGCGTGGTCACCCCCCAACTCCAAGAGTGGGTATGGGGGGGGAGGAGGCTTCTGCCCTAGACTAAGAAGGAGGTTGGGCCAAGACTCTCAGCTCTTGGGGAAAGACAGCCAGACAGGGGTGAGGTGGAACACACCTGGAGAGCCCTGAAGGTGGATGGCACTGACCCCAGGGGGGGCACAGACCCAGCCAACCATCTGGTGGGTCACTGACCTCAGGAAAACCACACTCAGGCTGGGGCCACTGACCCGATATGGGCAGACCGAGGGGGCTACTGAATGGCAGGATGGGAAGAGCTGACCTAGGCTGGGGAGAGGCAATGACCCATACCCCCATTTGGAAAAGTGGGCACTGATTTGGGCTGGGGGAGGGGTCCTTCCTGGATTGGGGAGGGGACAATGACCAAGCCTCCCCGGGTTCGGGGGAAAGTACTGATTTAGGCTGGGGGGATCCTGACTCGCGTGGGCCGGGGCACTGCCATAGCCTCCCCCTCGGAGAATCCGGCCCTGGCGCGCCCCTCGGCCCGGCCCCCTGTTCCCCGTCCGGCCGGAGGCGGCAGCGGCGCAGATGGGCTGCTGGCGGCCGCAGCGCGGTTATCAGCGCTCCTCGCAGATGGGCCGCCCGCCCTCCGCGCTCACGGCTCCCCACTCCCCGCGGCCTGCAGCCCCGTCCCCTGGGCGCGGGGGGAGGCGCCTCCGGATCCGCTCCCTGGCTCCCGCCTCCCTCCCTCGCGGCCCCGTCACCCCGCGGGCCCGGCCCGGGCGGCCGCCGGAGGGGGAGGGGGAGGGGACAAGTGCACTTTTCGTAACGACCGAATCAATTGTGTGTGAAGAGCCAGCTCGGGCCGGGGACAGGGCTGAGCGCGGGGCGGGCGGGCCGGACGGGGGAGGAGCGCGGAGGGGGGAGCGGGGGAGCTAGGGAGGGAGGGAGGCCGGCGCGGGGCGGCCCCGCTCTCTCGCTCCGGCCGGGCGAGGCCGGGGAGGGCTGGGGGGGCTGGGGAGGGAGGCCGGCCCGGCCGGGCCGGGCCGGGGGCGGAACACACTAATGGAGGGTCTAGGCGACGGAAAGTTCAAAGCTCCGCAGCGCCCCGGGAACGGCCGCCCCCCCAGCCCCCACCCTCTGCAGAACAATGAGGTCCCGGCGGGGGAGCCGCGGGGCCCGCGCCGCACGCCCTCTCCAGGGCGCCCCGGGCCAGAGGGGACGCCCCCGCCCGGCCGCCTGCCTCCTCCCTCTGGCGGCTGCGGTTCTCCGCCCCCTCCCCCACGCCACCCCGCCCGGACCGGGCCGGCCCGGGGGACGGGGGAGGGGAGGGGATGGGTAGGTCAGGCCGCCCCCGTCCCAAGGAGGGGGGAGCAAGGGGCCCGGGGGGCTGAGGGGGCGCCCCACCCACCCGCGGGAGGCTGCTCCTGCGCCAGGCTGCGGCTCTGGGCGCCCCTCCCCGGGCCAGCCCCGGGTGGGGTCGGGGCGACAGCACCCGGGCTGGCCCCCTCCCCTGGCGCTGGGAGGCCCAGCGGACTCCCCGTCCCGTGGCTGCCCCTGCCTCCCTCTCCCCCCAACCCCCCGCGGCACCACCCTCCACACACACATGCACACACACACACACACACACACACACACACACCGCCCAGCCGGCCCGGGGGCGGGAGCGCGAGGCGCCCGGGACAGGCAGCCCCGGGGCGGGCGGGGGGGTGGGGAGGCTAGGGCTTCGGAGCAGCCGCCTGCTGGCGGGGGGAGGGGACGGGAGGACGGAACATGCTAGGGTGAGCAGCCCGGGACAGCCCCCCCACCGGCACGGCCACGGCCCGGGCAGCGGCGCGGAGGGGGGCAGGGACGCCCCGAACCCGGAGCGCTGCCCAGGCGAGCTGGGGAGGGCGAGTGAGCAGGGACGCGTGCGCCTCCGGCGGGCCCGACACACGGACAACCTCAGGGACACACGTTCGGACACACATCCACACCCCCACCCCGCCCGCCCGCCCCGAGCCCAGCGGCGGGACCGGCCCGTGGCCGCCGCGCGCGCACTCACCGAGCCCGTCTTGACCGGCACATACACCACTTGGCCCATCTTGGGTTCCCGGCCGCTGCCCAGGCGGAAGCCTTTGGAGCGCACCCAGAACTGGAACTTGCCTTTCTCACCGGCCGCGGGGCCGCTGCCCGCGCCGGTCCCGCCGCCGCCCTGCAGGACCTCAGCGATCCGCTGGTATTTGCTGCGTGTCACCGTCTTGGTTTTGGCCGAGTCGCCGTAGGTGCGCAGGCACCAGTCCCGGAACTGGCGGCCCAGCTCCGAGTCCCCGGGGCTGCGCTCGCGCTCCCAGCCCCCGCGTAGCAGCAGCGTCGGCTTCGGCATCCTCCCGCCGCGCCCGGCGCCCTCGGGGGCGGGCCGGCCGCCGGGCCGCCCGGTGCCGGGACTGGGCTGGGCCGGGCTGGGCCGGGCCGGGGCGCGCCGCGGCCGGGGCTGTCCCGCGGTGTGGCTCCGGCGCGGCTGCTGGATGGGCGCGGGCGGCGGCCGGACGCGCGGGGCTGCGGCGCGCTCTGTCCTGCTCGGGCGGCGGCGGCGGCGTTGGCGGCGGCGGCTCCGGCTCGCCTCCTGCTCCGCCTCCTCCTCCCCCCGGCCGGGATGCAGGAGCGATGGAGGCAGCTCCGGGCCCGGAGGTGCAGAGGGGGCGGGCCGCCCCGCGGGCGGCCGGGGGAGGCGGGAGGCGGGGAGCGGCCCCGGGCGCGGGGAGCGAGACCGAGCCTGGGCGCGGGCGGCAGCAGTGGCTGTCAGCTTGCGCGGCTCATCCTGCTCCTGCTCAGGCTCCCGCTGCCGCGGCTCTTCCTCCTCCTCCTCCTCCCGCGCCCGCCTCCACCACGCCGCGGGATCCCACCTGTTAGAGCGGCGCAGCCTTCGCCGCCGCCCGCCCCCCCTTCCTCCCGCGCCGCCCGCCGGGCCCAGCCCCCGCCTGGCCCGGCCCCTGAGGGCGCGGGGGCCGCCGCGCCCGCAGCCGCCCAGAGGGCAGGAGCTGCAGGCGCGCAGTGCCCAGTCCAGGGACGCGTTCCATCTGGCCGGGCCGGGCCGTAGCCTCGCAGGCCGCGCTCCTCCCGGACACCGCTGTCCCGCCGGGAGTAGGGCGCAGACCCCGGCCCAGCCACCCGCGCCCCTGCCTCGCGGGCTGCCCTGCCCGACTTAGCCTGGCCCTGACGGCATAGTGCAGATTCCCTTCCCTCCTTCCCTGCCTGCCTCACCGGCCTGACCTCTCTCATGTGAGTCTGAAGCCAGAAGCCAGAAGAGCAATGTTCCCCTGAGGAACCCCAAATCGCCACCCTTCAGGGCCCTCAAACTTCCACTCCTTTTGCCTCACTTCGAGTTCCGCGAAGTTCAGCCAGGCTTGCCTCTGCCGGCCCCACTGCTCCGGGGCAGCCCCAGACCCTGGGGAAGTCTCGGGAGTCCTCCCACAGTCCAGCCCCATCAGGGCTTCAGAAGACCCTTAACACACCCACTAACTCGCCCTGAGAGACCCTGCCTTCCTGACTGCACCTTGACCTAGAATCTCTTGCTCAATAAATGGAGGTGGCCCCACATCCCCCTCCTACCTGGGCAGATCTGACCTTGGGTAGAGCTGGTCCCCTCCCCCTTAATGAAATTCCCAACCTGAATAAAGGCACAGGCCAACTTCTGAGGATTCCTGCCCTCCTTTCTTAACAGGTCATGACAAATGGCTACGCTTCCCTCCCTGTTGTCCCCTGGGGTCCATGCTCATGTGCCCATGACACTCCTGCAGGCAAGTCACCACCCAAGGCCTGAGGCCCAGATTTTGACTAGTGCAAGACCATTTTCTGCTTAGGAACTACTGGCTAGTCCTCCACCTTGGGACCCACTGTGTGCCGTGTCCTGGCAACTTGAAGGCAGAGGAGACAGCCCCACTTTATAGATGTAGGCCTAGGGCTTGGAGAGGTGGCCTGCCCTGCTCAAGGTCATGCAGGAAGGAGGGCTGGGTTTGTCTGGCTCCTGCTGCCATGTAACACATGAAGTCTTTCCTGTTCACCCCACTGGGAGGGGACCCAACGCTCTATGTACCTGGCTCACTGCCCCCGGCAGACAGGGAGCTCCAGATGCTCAGGGCCATATCTGACCCATCCCTGTATGCCCAGGCCCTAGCACAGCACCTGGCACATAGTAGGTGCCAACAAATGCTGAAAGAACACAAGAGGTCTTCCAAGTCCCAACCTCTCTCTGCATTTCACATAGGAGATTATTTTTAGATAATTTACATTTCCATGTTACTTTATATACACCAACAACTCCACAGTCATTTTTCCTCTTTATCTTCCCAAGAGCTCTTTTTGGATCCACGCTGGCATGCATGCCCATTTTTAAGAGGTGACCACTCAGAGAGGAAAAGCCAGTACCCAAAGACCAGCCCCAGGGGTGCAGGGCCTTCCGCATGATTTGGAAGCCCATGCCCTGACTTTTTTCAGTGTATCCCTTGATAGTTATCCCTCTAGCTGACTCCCTTCCTGAGAGCAAAGATGCTCTAACCAGGCAATGCTAGTGCTCACTTTCTTTCAGCAAGAGTAACCCTGTTGCCTAGGTAGTGGCGTCCCTGTATGAGCCCAGGTCTCACTACCCAGTTCCAAGACCCACTTCAAAAACCACTAAGCCAGATTACTTCTCCATGCAGTCTGGGTCTTTGCCTGCTTCTCAGAATTTGAAATCTTGGTTGTCAATCTTGGGCTGAGTTCTGGCATGGCAGAAGGTATCATATAAAGAAAAGAACATAGGCTTCGAGTAGAGACAAACAGACCTGGAACTGAATCCTGACTGCTGTTTGCCATGGTAGTCTTCATGTTCATAGGTCCCACTTGGCTGCTTCCCAATCGAATTTGGGTGACCACAGCAAGGTCACTCACTGAGTGACCACAGTAGGTCACTTAGCTCCAACTTCATCGTTTGTGTAATGGGAAGGATATTATGGACATAAAGATTCAGTGGGATGGGGCCGGGCGCAGTGGCTCACACCTGTAATCCTAGCACTCTGAGAGGCCAAGGAAAAGGGCAGATTGCTCGAGGTCAGGAGTTCGAAACCAGCCTGAGCAAGGGTGAGATCCCATCTCTACCATAAATAGAAAGAAATTAACTGGCCAACTAACAATATATAGAAAAAGTTAGCCAGGCATGGTGGTACATGCCTATAGTCCCAGCTACTCGGGAGGCTGAGGCAGAAGGATCACTTGAGCCCAGGAGACTGAGGTTGCTGTGAGCTAGGCTGATGCCATGGCACTCACTCTAGCCTGGACAACAAAGTGAGACTCTGTCTCAAAAATAAATAAATTAATTTAAAAAGATTCAATGGGATGAGGAGTGCTTGGCCTACACCAGGTACCCAATAAATGCCATTTTCTCCTTCATAAAGACTGCAAAGTATTCAAGGAAAAAGATGAGCATTGTTGATTCTTTTTGTGTTTCTTCATTCAACACGCATTTGTTAAGCAGTCATTATGCAGCAGGGGCTAGGAATATGGGCATGGGACCCCCAAGGTCCCTGCCCTCCTGCAGCTCACCAATGGGTGTGGAAGACAGCTACTGAGCAAACCACCTATGGATCCCTGCAGCTTGGGGAGCAGGCACGGTGGAAGGAGGGAGCTGTGATACAAATAATATATGGGGGTGCTGCTTTGCTTAGGGGGATTAGGGCTGCCCCTTCTGAGAAGATAGCGTTTGAGCAGTGACTTAAATGACAGGTGCAAGGAGTTAGCCATGCTAAGTTCTGAGCAAAGAGCATTCCAGGCAGAGGCGACAGTAAAGGCAAAAGCCCTGAGGTGGGAAAGAGCTTGGCATTTTCCAGAAGCTGGAAGGAAGCCAGTGTGGTCAGCCTGAAGTGCGTGAGGAAGAGTTGGAAGGCAGGAGTCGCGAAGACCTTGGGAAGAACTTTGGATTGCATTCTAGATGCTGCGGAAGCCACTGGCGAGTTTGCAGTAGGGGTGGGACAAAGTAGAGAGGCAGTGGGGAGTGGAGGGCAGCTACAGGGGTCCAGAGGTCTGTGGCTTTGGAGGTCAGAGGCCTGAGCTCTCCCAGGAGGCAGCTCACTCTACACCAGCCACATCCCAGCCTCTGGCCCCGAGGGTACTGGGAGAGTAGAGAGGGCTGAGCTGAGGAGGGAGAGTGGCCCCCTGCAGCCCAGCGGCGCTTCTGCAGAAACAGATCCCAGGGCCTTTGGCCTGTTCATGTCAGAGGGGTCCCCTGGGAGGGGTCCTGCCCCAGAATGTGCTGGGGGGTAAGTCTCCCGCCATGCTCAGCTTGTTGGGGACAATTACAGTTCTAGGCGGCAGCAGCTCCTTTATGCTTCCCATCCCAGACACCTGCCAAGAGGACACAGTAAGCTGCCCCATGAATCAAAGGCCAGTGGGTGCCCTGAATGTTTTAGCCCTTAGTCCAAGGGAGGCTGGAGTTGAAGCATAGGGAGTCCAAACCTCCAGGGTTGATGCCCACTTCCAGTGCAGATATTAGTTGTACTGACTCACAAGAGCTTGGCGACGAAGGGTCCACAGAGAGTATACAGTCTAAACTCTTCCTTTTATGGATGGGTAAACTGAGTCCCGGAGAAGGGAAGAGGTTCAGGGGCACCAGGCACAGCTGGGCACCTGGACTTTGCCTGGTTTGGCCCAGGTCACCTGTCTTTTGCTTAGTTCTGACCCTGGGCCCACAAGAGGTGGAATGTCTGCAACTCAGCACTGAAGTGGCCCCAACCCTGCCCACTGGAAGTTCCAGGCCTGGGGTGGGGCAAAGTGACTCAGGGCCCCCAGGGGCCTGTCCACCAAAAGGCCAGGAGGAGCAGGGAGGCTCCAGAGCCTTGGGAGGGGTGGTTTCCACTGCTAGGTGCTGCTGCCAATTCCACCACGGGCTTGTGCAGCCACTTGCTGTCCCCTGCAGTGTCCCCAGCCATGCCAAGCTGCTGCTCTATGCCCGCCTCATCCAGAAAGGCTTCCTCACCGCTCAGCTTGGTTCAGGGGCTTCCTCTGGTCACTCACAGAACCCTGGGCTTTCTCTATCCTGGCTCTGGCCACACCATGTCATGATCACCTCATTGCCTGTATATGCCAGTGCCCAGCACAGGGGCTAGGTATAATAAATAATTATTGGATAAATGAATAAATAAGTGGCTGAATGAATGAATGAATGGGCCTAGTTCCCAAAAAGCAAGTGTCAGACTGAAATCTACAGCATTTTTCACCACATTGTCCTGCCTTCCCCATAATTAATCAATCCAGCTGCATTTATTGTGCTCTTCCTAACAGGCTCTACCATTGAGTGACCTTAACGTGAGTTCCTTAATCTCTCTCACCCTCAGTTCTCAATGCTGATAAAATGGGGATATTAATAAT